CCCCCCCCCCCCCCTAGCCAGAGGGGGTGCAAGGGGATGCTTATTTTGATGATAAGCAACAAATATTAAATACAAAATGGCATAACTATGACAAAATTATGATAATGAACTGTTAACAACAACTTAGCATCATTCTAGATCCATCACTGTGCCTAAGCCTCCTAATTTTACTCATGTACATCTGTCAGGACATCAAACTTCAAAAAGATGGAAAAATTAGCACAAACCTCAGAATTTGGGAAAATTGTTGGGAATGCATCCGGCTTTAAAATCACTCTTTCTCCACCCTCTTCTATCATGTCCAAGCTAAAATGCTTGGAACACACACGACTTCCTTTTGTGGGGGCAAACTTCACTGGTGCATTCCTGTTCACAATTGCTACCCAAGTGGCATACATCTCGGGGTTTCTTTTGGCATCTGGAAAGCTGTTAAGTAAATTAATTTAAAAATATATGGTCACTAAATTTGTAGTGCTCATATTATTTATAGTTTTACATGTCACAGCTTTCTTGCATATACATATTAAGTACTTTATTAAATTCTTAAAACTTATTTGCTTTTTTGTAAACTAACGTAACTACCATATAATATTATACATCTCAAAAATCTCTATAACTACAGCGAATATTCAGTAAATTTTGGTTTCATCAGACAAATGCACCAAGTGATGTCTATTACAAAAGAGCATAAAGGTTTTGACTAGCTCCATTTCGGATTTCCTGATTTGTAAAATTTATATGAAAATTATTTAAATTATATTACTATTAATAAGCCTTTACAGACTATTAAAAAACTACAAAGTGTAAATTATATAACATGAAACACAAAGGGGTGTTAATACTAAATGAAAAACAAATAAATATCAGCTGCAGTTTTTCAAATCTATATTTAAATGTTAAATTGTATCCAAAATTCTTGTTCAAAAAAATGCAATATTTCAAATGAATAAAGAACAGAAAAAGAGTTTCATAAAATCTTACCGGTGAGAAGAAATATTCTTCTTAGATAAGGAATAATGACAACCAAAAATACAGCAAGAAGGCATTTTTGAAATTTTCTCTGTCGATGTTGTTCAAAATAAACAAGCAAAGCAAGGCGAGAAAAGGCCGAAAACCAGGGGGGTGAAGGATTTTACTTCAAGCGTAGGATCGCGGTTGGTCAGTGGTAATTGCCATGAGCCGGAGGAACCAATTGGCGTCAGCAAACATGAAAATCCGCCATGTTTTTCCGGACACTCGTTTG